TAGGTTTTAAACTCTATCCATGTGCAAGTTCACTATGCCCGCTGAACTTTAGCCACACACATTCCCCTCCTCGATTCAGACAAAATGAAACGGCATTCAGGGTTCATACCTTAATCACTCGCATCCTCTCATTTCTTATTTCTCATTTATTTTACTCTCATTCTATTTTTTTCTAAAATTTTATTTAAATTGATCGTTTCACCATCATAATTAATCTTTTTCATTTTTATTCATTTATTTATGTTATTTATTTTCTTTTTCAACTTTCTACTTAATTAGTAATTTCTTTTTAGGTTAAAATCCATTTCTCATCATAGTCCAAATATTCCTCAGCCTTTGAGTTTGTTTTCTGGTTTCATCTCCTCATAAATTCCAATAGCTTAGGTTCATTGGTTATATGTTCGGGTTCTGTTCTTCATCAAAAATGGGTTAGTGAAATACATGCAAATTTCAAAATCTGAATTCAGATTCAAAATAAAAAATACTTACACTCATATGCAACAATCTTTCTGGATCCACATAAACGTCCTAATTCCATGTTCGTGCACGACAAAAACTAATTAATATAATTTAAATGCTAAAAAAAAACTAACTTAACTGAAATTACGGGTTTCAATGACAACCCAACGGAATACCCAAAAATATCGAGATCCATACCCAAGGAAGACCTTTAGGCTTTCCGTTCGGTAGATCAGATTTTTGTACTCGAGAAAGACTTTTCAGCTTCCCGAGCAGTGAATCAGAATCTGAAAAGGGTAAATTTGATCTCCATTCCCGAGGAAGACCCTTCAGCTTTTACGGGTGGGTCAGTTTCTCCACTCCTGAGGAAAACTCCTCGATTCCTGCGCGGGTGGGTGGCTAAGCCGAGCTTGCACGGCCAACTCGACACCCAACCACTGCTCCTTGTCACTCAATAGACATAAAAAACATAAAACAAAGATTTACCTTCCCAGTGTGAGGCGATTCGGCCTCGATTTGGCTCCCAATGGTTTTCTCTCTACCACCCTGCGGCTCCCTTACTTGCTTGTAATTGGAATGATCATTTTCATGCCTAAAAAATCGATTAATGTAAAATAAAAAAAGATTGAAAGAAAAATAGGGGGGAAAAAGATGACAAACGAACCCTTTTTACCTCGCTCGCATCGGTCTCCGCCGTTGCACAACGTCTTAGGCTGATTCCTTTTCCTTCCCTTGCGATGGCTGTTCTCGACTTCGCCTTCCATCTCCTACTCGACCACTTTGTTTTTCTCCTTCTTCAGCCTCTCTCTTCCTTTCCTCTCCTTCTTTCTTCCTCTCGGCTCCCCCACGCAACCATCTCCTCTTTTCCCTCTCACTCGATCAATTCACCTCTTTCTCTCCTCCTCTCACTTTTTCGGGTACTCACCCAAATGAAAAAAAAATC